CTTCCATATGCTGTTCACTCCCCAACAAAGCCATGCCAATCTGAAACTCAGGAGCTTCTTCCGGGTCTCCCACGCAGGTGCAAGGGCCCAAGGACTTGGGCCATCTTCTACTGCTTTCCCAGGCCATAGCAGAGAGCTGGATCAGAAGTGGAGCAGCCGGGACTCGAACCGGTGCCCATATGGGATGCAGGCACTGCAGGCGGCGGCTAACCTGCTATGACACGGTGCTGACCCCTATTTTGCTTCTGATCCAGCTCCCCGATACTGTGCCTGAGAAGGCAGAGGAGAATGGTCCAAGTGCTTGGGCTCCTGCCGCCCATGTGGGAGACCAGGAAGTAGTTCCTATCTCCAGGCTTCAGCCTGGCTCAGCCTCTGCTGGGGTGGCCAAGGTATGCAAATTGTTTCATTAGTTCAAGACAGAATAGATGATCCATGCCACAGCGAGGTCTCAGTCTCACTGAGATCTAAAGTTGTGCAAGCAAGGAGAGCAATTAGCCTACAGATTAAGACACCAGGTAAGGTGCCCAAGTCCCGCATCAGAGTGCCTGGGTTTGATTCCTGAGTCCAGCTCTTGACCCAGCTTCTTGCATATGTAGACCCTGAAACACAGTGGTGATGATGCAAGTCACTGCGTTTTTGTCCCCCACACGGAGACTGGGACCGAGTTCCAACTCCCAGCTTCAGGCCTGGGCTGGCTGGCCCCAGCCATTGTGGGCATTTGGTGAGTGAACCATTGAATGGGAGTATTCTCTCTCTTTCTACCACTCAAACCAATTAATTAAAATGTAATGGTAGTAACCAGAAAGTCAATTACCCGGCTCCCCCATGTTGCAGTTAGGGAAGGGAAATGAGTGGATTGCCAGGGAGAGAGCCACACCAGTCACCTCCACTCCCACACCTCTACTCCCAGCCTCCCTTGAGAGAGGAGGGGAGAACAGGTACTTCCTGGAGGAGACCACTGACAGCTGAACACCTGCGCCACCCCGAGCCTCTGCGCGCAGTCGCCTCCCGCGTCCTGGGCAGCCCGGGCCCCCGAGGTCCCCGTGACCCGCGCCGCCCCGAACACCGCCTCCCGCGTCCGGGGCAGCCCGGCTCCCGCGGCCTCGGTCACCCGCGCCGCCCCGGGCCCGCGCCCCGAGCACCGCCTCCCGCGCTACCGCGGCCCCGTCACCCGCACTCTCGCGGCGGTGGCGGTGGGGTCTGTGGCACGGCCCGGAGCAGCGCACGGAACCAGGCGCGGGCCCAGCCAGGTCCCCCGTGTCCCGCGCTCCCGCGCGTCCTGAGGAGAACGCCCCGCGGGCCGCCCTCAGCCCGGGAGAGGCCCCGAGCGCAGTCCCGGGCCTCGGAGGAGACGCGGGCGGCGCGGGCTCCCTCGGCCCCGAGCCCGCGGGGAGGCGGGTGAGTGCGGGGCTGCGCGGGCGCGGGGTCTCCCGCCGCCGTCCTCCCTCCCGCCCCACCTCGCCCCCTGCCCCCGCGCTCGCCGTCGGCGGAGACCCCGGCGTGGCCGCGCGGCTGCGGGTGCTCACGGGCGGTGCCGGGCGGCTGCGGCGTCTCCTGCGGGCTCGCGGACGCGCGTGCTCTCGGGGCCCACGGCGGGGCGCCCCGCGTTGCTTCCCTGCACCCGCGTTCCTGCCCCATCTCGCCCGGGGTGCAGGACCTGAACCTGGCTGTGCACGCGCTGCGGGGCGCCGCCGCCCTCGGGCGGGGAACCGGGCGGGGGTCTCCGAGTTTCGTCTTTTTACCTGAGTTTATGGGTGGCCCCTTGTCAACCACCGCTGGCCTCTGGGTTTGATAAGGGAGAGGCACGAAGCTAGTGAAGTCTGTGGCGCCACAAGTCACAAGCCACCGCCCCGCCCCTCTGCTTGTCAGTTACACCACGTGCCTCCCCGTGACGCACCTGTTGCATCGGGACCCTGGGGCAAACCCCATAAAAGGAGGTGGACCGCCAGGGACGTTACTTCCTAGTGTCGCTCCTGGGTTCTTTTTCCGTCGTGGACCTGTCCTAGAGGTACTGGTCCATTTTTCCGGCCGCACCTCGTCCCTTCATCCTGTTCTCGGACAGGCTTCCCCGGCTACAGGTACCGGTTTTGGTTTTTCGGTGGACAGCTGGCCCACTCGTGTGCGTGTCTCCGTGTGCGGGGCCCGTGAGTGTGTGTGTGTAGTCCCCTCTGCCAAATAAGCTGTTGGTACTTGCAGGCAAGGCCGGTTTCCGCGTAGCCCCGGGGTCATTGCCCAGGTCAGCCTGTCATGGCGCCCTCGGGCTTTCTAGAAACTTCCGCGCTGACGCCGGCGCCTGGCCTGGGAAAGATTCCTGTAGACTCAGGTGTGAGCGAACGCTTAGGTTTCTAGAAAAGTTTGCGTCATGACCAGAACATTTTGTGCGCTCAGCTCCTTTGTGCGTGTCTGAGAAGTTGCTCTCAGCGTTTGCTGCGGGTGTGGGTCCGTTCACAATGTTACTTAGGGAGGTGTAAGGAGGAAACGAGGCAGACCGCGTGTGCAAGAGCAGCGACATCCGTGTTGGCCTTGGGGTCGCAGACAGCGCTGCCCGCCTGAGCCTTTCCGCCCGTTCCCAGCTCACACAGCCCTCGGGAGACCGGGAAGCTCGAGTGTGACACACGTCAGCGCGTGCGTACCTGTCCCAATCTAACGCACTTGTCATCGGTCATTCATAGACACACGCTGGGACCCTAAAGCAACACACAGAAAGAATGGATATGCTGGTACATCTCATTTTCACTCATGCACCCACACCCCTAGATCAGCCGTTCTCAACCCTGTGCGGTCCGATCCTTGGTTCTTTTATGACAAATATTTTGTAGTGCTGACTGGCTGTTTTGGACTCGGGATCTAGCTAACCGCCTGACCTGTCCAGTGTGGTTTACCAGCAGTGGACTGGCTGCAAAATGAAGGAACCAGGAAAGGAGGGTAATTGTCAGAAAGTGAGGCCTGGGCAGGGCCACGCTGGTCACACTAGCGAGTGTCAGGTGCTCCAGCCCTACGAGGGATTACTGTAAGCTTACCCACTCCAGATGCGGGCTCCCGGGCTGCGGATAAATTGCTTCACTAGCGATTCCATCAATTGGGGTGGTGTTCCAAAATGCTGAGCGCTTGTAAAGTTAAAACAAAAATTCCTCCAGCCTTTCTTTCGTTTATGTGATAGGTACAACCTGGAAAATTCGGGGTGTATTAAAACGGTGAAAAAACAGGTTGTGATTTTGCAGAGGCCCTAGGCTGTGGTGTTACCTGCAGTTTCTCAGCCAGCGGCTGCACGGAGGGTGCAGCAGAATTCTCCCTTCTTTGTCCTGTGCTGCTCTCCAGAGGAAAGCCTTGCCCCTCGGTCCTCATCACTTGCATGCCAGCAGTGTCCCCTTCCTGTTAACCTTGGTGGCTAGACATCTGTGCAATATCTTTGTATTGCTTCCCAGCAGGAAACACTGCCTTACGGAGAGCCCCGGTGCAGACGTCCTGTTATTGGATTTCAAGATTTAATACAGTACAGAAAGTAAAATCTCCCAAGTCATGGCTGTAGAATCTCTGTTCTCCGGAGCCTTTGTAATAACGATGGAAGGAAAAAAGCTGATTATCTTGTAACGGTAAAACCATGCATCCAGTCTTCTGGAAGAAAGGCTAGAATGACCAGCATGAACAACAAGTGGGAAAACAAGCAAGGAAAAGGCCCCAAGTGTTGGTTCTCAATTAATGTAAGAATGTGTCAGAGGCTCACTAGGCTAATCCTCTGCCTGCGGCGCCGGCACCCCGGGTTCTAGTCCCGGTCGGGGGTGCCGGATTCTGTCCCGGTTGCCCCTCTTCCAGGCCAGCTCTCTGCTGTGGCCTGGGAAGGCAGTGGAGGATGGCCCAAGTGCTTGGGCCCTGCACCCCATGGGAGACCAGGATAAGCACCTGGCTCCTGGCTTCGGATCAGCACAGTGCGCTAGCCGCGGCGGCCATTGGAGGGTGAACCAATGGCAAAAGGAAGACCTTTCTCTCTGTCTCTCTCTCTCACTGTCCACTCTACCTGTCAGAAAAAAAAAAATTTGTCAGAATGTGTGGCCCTTATTTAACATTACAGATAGTATCTTTTAAAAGATCTTCCAAAGTCTAATTCCTATTTTGCGAAACTGAATTTGTTTCTTTTGAATTTGTGTTAAGTTGTGCTGCTAAACTGTGTCGATAACCAATTTAGATAAACAGGCTAAAAATATTTTCCCTTATCTTACATCTCATACATTTGCTCAAGAAAATTGTGAATTACAGTAGAACGTTGCTATTATGGGCAAGATATATTGGCAGGGAATATAGCAGTTGGATTTTTTAAATCTTTTGGTAATATTGATAATTAGGGCCCTAAAGTAGAATTAATATGTCCTATGTTAATTCCCCCCCAAAATTAAAAATATTTCACAATAGCATTCTTATCCTATTTCTTACTAATTCGGAAGGCACACAGGGAACTCCCACAGCTGTTGGAGTCATGTTCACCTGTCAGCTTTGCATTGCTGTGGATGTTATGGCTACAAGAAAGCCAGGATAGCAGACTTCAGCTTTGCAGCGTGAATCTAAGGGATGTGAGGCCCAGCTCACAGGAGCGTCTCTCACTTAATCCCCAGCCCCAGCCGAGCCCTGAACCAAAGCCTGTGCTGCCAGTCCCCTCCAGTTCTTGTTTTTACTCCAGGAGTTTTCTGCCCAGCTGTTTGAATTCTCTCTCCCTGACCCAGAGAAATTAGAAAGCAACTAATTTCAGGACGAGCAGGTACCGGGAAATCCTTCGATGTTAATTTTACCTAGAACTCACCAACTATTTTGTTGAATTGATGAGTAAGTAGATAATTAAAAATCAGTCTCTAGGATGAACATGAGTTGGGTAGTTCTGATTTAAAATCCTGAAAATGTTCCAGTGAGGAGGTGGATCTGTTGTCTCTTTCTCACTCTTTCCACTCTGAGCAGACTTGGGTGTTGGGGACCCAGTGGACGTGGCCTTGACCAGAGCAGCCAGAATGGGCCTGGAACCCTTGTCTGGAGAGTACCCCTCTGAATGAAGCAGTATTGAAGGCGATGATTAGGTTCGTGGTGAATTCACATCCCCAAGGTAAAGTTTGTTTCTGTAGAACCACTCGAATGGAAAAACCAATTTGGAACCCTCAGCGTGTGAGTCGGGTTATGGTGTCAGCCAAGCTGGGTGATTGTATGTGGTATTTAACATCTTCTGTGTGTTTTTCCTGATTGGTTCAAGGTTTGGAGCCAATCACGTTACCTTTCTGAGTCTCATAAACCCTCTGAAGCAGGGATTGCAAACTGGGGGCCCTCAGAGGAAAGCTGAAGGTATTTTGCTTGGGAAACACAGTACCTAAATTTTAAATTTGAATTAAATTTTCTTCTGATGGGGATACGTTCTCCAGGTCACCATGTGGCCAGCAGATGCTGCTGCTTCATGCCTGATCTCTTGCCACGTGTAGTACCCACTGAATGGCAGCAGTGTGCTCTGTGACTTCTGAGACAGGCAGAATCCCTTCTGGTGTTTAAATCTGTGAATTCCTGCGGCAGCAGGGAGAGGCTGGTCAATTTTGCTCAATGTAAGGAGAGATTTCCCAACAGTTGGTTCTGTCCTCAAATGAGAACCTTTCACATCTGAGATTTTTTTTTAAAGATGTAGTTACTTATTTGAAAGTCAGTTACACAGAGAGAAGGAGAGGCAGAGAGAGAGAGAGAGAGAGAGAGAGAGAGAACTTCCATCTGCTGGTTCACTCCCCATTTGGCCGCAATAGCCAGAGCTGTGCCGATCCAAAGCCAGGAGCCAGGCGCTTCCTCCAGGTCTTCCCACGTGGGTGCAGGGGCCCAAGGACTTGGGCCATCTTCTATTGCTTTCTCAGGCCATAGCAGAGAGCTGGATCAGAAGTGGAGCAGCTGGGACTAGAACCAGTGCCCATATGGGAAGCCAACACTCTAGGCAGCAGCTTTACCCACTGCACCACAGTGCTGGCCCCTCAAATCTAAGATTCAAAAAAAAAATTCCATCACCACTTTAAACCATGTGCTATCAATTTATCGCTCTTGGACATGGCTAAAAATATGTATTTACATAAGTTATATAAACCTAATGACATGTTGTTAGTGAATATAATATCTAAGTATATATTTAATTAGATAATAAATATGTATGTACACATTGATGTGTGTGTATGTATGTTGGGGGCCAGCCTTCGTTTATTTTTAATTTTTTAAATTTTTATTTATTCGAGAGATACAGACAGATGGTAACATCCTTTGGTTCATACCGAAAATGTTCACAACAGCTGGGGCTGGGCCAAGGCCAAAGCCAGGAGCTGGGAACTCAATCCAGGATCCCACATGGATGACAAGGACCCAAGCCATCACCTGCTGCTTCCCAGGTACACATTAGCAGGAAGCTGGAATCAGGAGTGGAGCAGGGACTTGAAGCCAGACACTCTGATATGGAATGTGGGCATCCCAACAGGCAGCTTAACTGCTAGGCCAAATGCCCACCCCAGCCTCAGTTTGTTTTGTGCCTTGGGCATTCTCTCTGCCACCACCTTGTTCTTTGGTTTACGTGTGGACTTTCAAAGTTTAACACATCAAAAACAGTTTCCAGATTAGCCAGAGCTTCCTGTAGATGCATTTCTCCTTTTTTGCTCTGTGATTATTTGTGAAAATAAGTCAGAATTTTATCTTTCTAAAGATTTATTTTATGTATTTGAAAGGCAGAGTTCCATCCTCCAATTCACTCCCCAGATGAACACAATGAAGCCCTGAGCCTAGAATTTCATCCATATCTTCCATGTGGGTGGCAGGGGCCCATGCGCTTGGACCATCTTTGGCTTCTTTCTCAGGCATGTGAGCAGGGATCTGGATTGGAAGTGGGACAGCCAGGACTCAAATAAGCAGGTCATGGGATGCTGATGTCAGACAGTGTCTTAACCCATTGCTCTACAACGCTGGCCCCATGAATTTCATTTAAGAATTGTAAAACTGTCCTCTTCTCTTCTCTTCTCTTCTCTTCTCTTCTCTTCTCTTCTCTTCTCTTCTCTTCTCTTCTCTTCTCTTCTTTGACAGGCAGAGTGGA